TGCGCAGTACTCCAAGTTTGTCAAATCGGCTTTTGATGACTTCATTCTTCCAACAAAGAAGTATGCTGACATAATAATTCCCCGGGGAGGAGACAATCATGTTGCTATTGATTTGATTGTGCAACATATCAGGACGAAACTTGGTCAACATGATCTTTGTAAAATATATCCTAACTTATACGTTATTCAATCTACTTTCCAGGTGCCATTTTCATCTTGTTATTATAGATATGTTTTAGCACCCATCTGTTTCAGCTGCATCTTGCCAATTATCTGTGCCTCTTCATCTTGAAGTCCTTTTTCCTTTTTTTGAGATCGACCTTTTATTTTCTTCTAACATTATTATTTGTTTCATTCAGATACGTGGCATGCATACACTTATCCGTGATGCACAGACGACAAAGCATGATTTTGTGTTCTATGCTGATAGATTGATTCGATTGGTAAGTTTTTCTTTCTTGCACGGTGATCAAGTTAACAAGTTTTTCGACAAGTGAAAGCTTTCCCCTTATCTATCAAAGTTCTTCCTCACTGTACCAGGTTGTTGAACATGGACTAGGCCATCTGCCGTTTACAGAAAAACAGGTGATCACTCCAACTGGTAAGCAGCTATCCCATAGTGCAATATTAGATATGAATTTGATTTTAAATGTTCATTATGTCACTGTATTTCAATCAATCTATTTGTGGTTTCCATAGAATGTGAGCTCAGGGGCGGACCTAGAGTATTAGGTACAGGTTGTGACGAACACAATAGCTTTTGGCCTTTTGCTTAGACCCTGTATTGTATTAGGAAATCCATTAATATGTGCAAATATTTAATTGTGAACCCAGTAACTAAGACGAGTGATGGAACCTTCAAATCCTGGCTCCGCCTCACCATGGGCTGATATGTTTTCCTGGTTCCATAACATTTAGAAGTGATTGTTTTTAATTGGTTGGTCTTTTGGATTCATCATAGCATTGTAATAGAGCTCTTTTGTCTTATTTCATGTATATCCTTTTTTCCTTAATCAGTTTTACCTACACTCAAGAGAGACTGGGTTACTATTTTGAAAAAATAATCTATCAGGAAAACTGTTGGCATATTTGATATGCTCTAGCCTCTAAGAAGTAAGCAGCAGCCATGGTTTGAAATATCAATCGGTACTGCAAAGTGTCAGAGGAATCATAATTAGAAGGGACAAGGCCGATTCAATGTCGACTCACAATGTTTTTTACTTGTGTTGAAAATGCTGTCACCCATATTAGGAGTGCATCGCTACTGACATGTCAAAAACTCAAAATAATCGCATCCGAGCTACATCATAGGAGATGCATCGGATACCATGTGGAGTGTGGGCAATATTAAATGAAAGCTTCTCTTGGGATAATTGATGCTATATTTTGCCGCTTGATATTCCTTTTATAGAGAGTCAATAATGCTACTTTGTCGTGAATGTGATTTATCATTTGAAAGACTATTGACCATAGCAGCTTAGCAAACACATTTTCTTGATGCTCCGTTTAGTAGTATCAACACCATGGTAATTTGTTAAGTTTCAATCCTTTATTTTGGTAAATTTTCAGCACTTGATTAATGTCTTCGAATTTCACAGTTGCTTAGCTACTTCAATCCGTATTATCTATGGTGGCAGCTTGGGTTTCATGAATTTACTTGGATAAAAACTAGTCTCTTTCCAGTTTTGATGTCTAGTTGAGATGTATTTACCTGTCATCTTTCAGGTCAGCTAAATGATTGCAAACTGTGGTGAACTTCTTGCTTACCAAGACCTGCATTGACTATTAGCCAATATTGTCATTTTTTGATTCAAGATTTTACTCATGTTTATTCTTGGACTTTGCTCTTCTTGATATCCCAAGTTAGCTCCTGTTTCGATGAGCATGAAAAGATATGCTTAAATAAATCCACCTCTGTTGAATGCAGGATCTGTATACAGCGGTGTAGATTTTTGCAAGAGGTTATGTGGTGTCTCTGTAATTAGAAGGTAATTATTGCTCGTCTCCCTTGATTTCTTCATACATGAGGTAAAAATGCGGGACTTAGGAAGGACTTTCTATTCTTGTAACAGTCTAAATATCCTTTATGTTAATACATATAATTTATTTAAGATAATCTATCACGCGATTGATTTTTGTTCCTTATCAAAAAAAAAAAAATAAGAGACACTATCTTCTGAGAAACTTGATGGTTTGATATTTAATGTGGCAAAGCTTCATTCTAGAATTCTCAAGATGAATACATGTTACACTGAGAAGATCAAGATTTATAATGTTAAGAGTAAATGTCACCTAAAAAGGTTTACATAAATGGGGGTTCGTTTTTCTTCTAGTGTAGGAAATAGATATGCAAAATATTTACTAGTTTGCAGTTTAGTCAGTTTAGTCGATATTTAGATTTGTTGTGTTAATCTCGGAAAAATTAAGAATTACAATATGTATTGCTAATAAGTCGAAGTAGAATGTCAACCCATTTAATGTTGTTGAATGTATATGGGGGTTTACCTAATCATCATCCTTTGGTATGTTGAAACATTTTACTTTAATTCGTTAGAAATGTCCTTGCTTGCTTCTTTCTGCCTTCAGTATAAGATTTAGGGATTACTATGTTCTCTTTACTTGCCATAAGAATTTCTAATTTTGCACAGTGGAGAGAGTATGGAGAATGCGTTGCGTGCATGCTGTAAGGGTATCAAGATAGGCAAGATTCTTATCCACAGAGAGGGCGACAATGGTCAGCAGGTTAGCGATTTGCTTGTCCTCCCGAATCTTTATATTGGTATTTGCTTTCTTTCTTTTTTTCTTTTTTGTTAGTTTGTAATGCCTTTTTTCATTTATTGCATGAATAATAATGCAGCTGATCTATGAAAAACTACCAGAAGATATTGCAGAAAGGCATGTCCTTTTGCTGGATCCTATCCTTGGCACAGGTTAGTCTATTTTCAACAAACCCTTGACATCACGTGACTGACCTTGACTCTCAATGCACACAAAATGTATAGATGCACTACATCATGAAAAATGTTCTTAACAAGCGAATGTGTAAGCTAAAGCCTATACGTGACAATCTTCAGGGAATTCAGCAGTTCAAGCTATTTCTTTACTGTTAAAGAAGGGAGTTCCCGAGTCCAATATTTTATTCCTCAATCTTATTTCTGTAAGTTTACTGGTTCATCCATACAGGGAAGTATAAATATGCGGAGCTTATATTACAACAGAATTAGTGGAATTAATACTTGTATCCTTAAACTAGGCACCCCAAGGAGTACATGTGGTCTGTAAGCGTTTTCCAAGAATAAAGATCGTGACATCTGAGATAGAAAATGGTTTGAACGATGATTTTCGTGTTATTCCTGGAATGGGCGAGTTTGGTGACAGGTATTTTGGCACAGACGATGACTAAACGTTAGGCTGGTGGCTCGCCCCTCTCTATCTCTCAATCGCGTGAGAGATGTAACCAGTCAGTTGAGCATGATTAACTAATAATGTGTTAAGGCTCTGGACATTATGAGATTGTATTTGACTACAGTTGCACTGGAAATGCGATTTTCAAACTTTTTGTACATTTGGTCACACGAGTTTTCTTTAGGAGTTGTAAGAAATGCATTAAAATGGGTTTGATATGAATTACTACAGTATCCGGACAATATGGTATTTACTTCTTAAATCTTGAATAACTAAGCGAAATTCCTGATTTCTTGGTGTAACTAATGTTTAACACTTTAACCTATCAAACTATTGACAATTCGAGACATATCCAGACAATGTGGAAGTTTCGACTTGGTAGTTTTTATGGCTTATTACAAAAAAAGTTACTAATTTTATGTCAAATATTTTAAAGATATTTTATTTTTATACGTAAAAGATATGAAATAAAATACGAAGGATCTTTCCAGGACCATTTTGTAATATTCAAATTTTAAAGGGTTATGTTGAACCAGTTCCAGAGAAAACAAAAAGGAGCCTTTTTCTTTTTCCTCTTTTCCTTTTTTGAGCAAAAATGAGAATAGGCCAACTCCTTAACACTGGAAAAGAGAGAAAAAGAGAAATTATGAAACACAATTGAGAGAGAAGTTATCTAATTGAAGGTGTGTACAATCAAGTAACAGTAATTATATATTTATATTCTTGGGAGTAAAAAAATGAAAAAAATTAGTAGTAGTTAGGTAATTCTACCACCAAAAACATTAAGTGATTTACATCACTTGGTGTCTTTGTCTAGGGTAGATTTGAACCCAAAACCTTATGGTCGTCGATTCAGCATTAGATAAAGGGGGTAAAATCCCCGTTTTTACAATTTACAATAAGTGGTTCAAATCATTTTATCAATATGAGTATCCTATGATAAAATATTTATTTTGAAACCACCTCTATATTAACATAGTGGTAGAAAGAGTACCATGCTGCGTCTAGACTTCAAACAGTTTGTTTTAACCATGTTAATAGTTCCACATTATTGGTTAATAGAGAATCAAAATCGATTTACCAATAAATCGCGAAATGCTATGGTTCTTACATATAATTTCTGAATTTATTCAGAAGTAATTCGCGAGATCATGCACCTCTCTTTCCTAGTTATAACGGAAAAGGGTACAGCTGGGTGGTCCAGCCTATTCTTGAAATAAACAACTCTGAACCCAAAACCTTATGGTTTTCAATTGACTTTATTAACTACTTAGGGGTCGTTTGGTTGGAAAGAAGTTATTCAAGGATTAGTTATCCTATGATTAGTTATTCCACCGTTCTATGGGGATAAAAAAAATACTACAATCCCGGGATTAATTATACCGCAGTTTTCTACCAACCAAACATGGGATAAACTCTTCTTAAATTTAATCCCGGGATTAATTATTCCTTATCCTTCGTACCAAAAGAGCTCTAAGTCATACTTTTGAGTGATTAAATGTAAATTATGGAAACCGAATCACAGATAAACTTGGAAATAAGCTAATTTATTAGCATGCATTAGGTTTAATATAACGTTCAACCAACCACAGAACTTAATAAATCACTCTGAATTCCACTCCTTCAATTCATCATAGCGTTGCAACCCAAGCAGGAAAAGCAAGGTTAAGTTTGTGTCCAACAATATAATTTCATAAACAAATTTGAATGCAATAGTTGTAAGCAGTCATTGCTAAAATCCAAAAAATGTTGTGAGTACATAAATTAAGCCACAGATGTTAATTCTATGACAGAAAAGAGATGATCAACCCCCAAATAGATATCCGGCGGCTTGTTCTTCGTTACCATCAAAAAACTTCAGAGCCTGTATCACTGCATCCCTCCCAAACCCTAATTCAACAAGCTTTGCAACTTTGGCTTCAAATTCAGTTCCCTGCAGAAAAAATATTAATAAAGTAGCACAAAGACCATAAAAGATCTGTTCTACTTAACAATGACTATATTTATTCAAAGGAACAACAAATTTATGCAGGCTGTCAAGGAGCAAATTAATCTCTAATTTACCTGTGTCGAATTCCCAGGGGCGGCGCTTCCTGTGGACCAAGACAAGGTTGAACTATAAGTAAATGAAATTCAGAAGAGAAATAAAGATAGATGTGGAAACAACCAAAAGTAAAATAGAAAGAAAATTCATGTCATCTTGCTGACTCTTCCTAGATCATGTTAAGCAAATTATTGTAAGGAATTTGAATCCTTGGGTGTGGCGGAACAGTCCAGATGACAGACAGTTGAAATGGAATTCACAAATACGATTTGGAAGTTGAAGCTAACCGGAAGGACCTCCTTTTGCAGGACCAGTCGTCTCCTTAGCTCCAGGTGTTGCCTGTACAGCAAGAAAAAGAATCAAGTTTAGCACTGCTGCCTTGTCAGAAAACAAAAACTCAAGGAAACAGCACTGCTCCTAGAAGGTCAAAATATCTGATATGAATATTTAGAGAACAAAGGTACCATAACAGATTATGAAAGGGCTTGACGACCTTAGAAATTTCAAATTGTAGGATAACATCTTGCACAATCTTTAGAGCAAACAACCTCAACCCCAGGAAAACGAGAAAATTCCATCAAGAATGTCAAAATTGTAAAGAGAAAGAGGGCAATCCTAGGCAATCATTTCATCAATGATTTCATTAATTTCAGAATCAACTTTATCTTTTATGGCGGAGAGTGCATATCACCACGACTTGCACTCAAGTTTGTACAGTGTTAGCTCTTGACCTATTTTGAAGCTGATATACGTCATATTTGTTGTTCATTTATTGCTCGCATAAAACTATAGGCCGCAAAAAGTAAAGCCCCAATCTCGTCCCATGAACCCACTTTCAGAGAATGAAAAAGGAAAGATAATAATGTTGAGTCTGGAAAAAATCATTATATTAAAAAAATGCCTTTACCTGGGCTCCTGAGCTCGAAGCCTCCTTGGCAAACCTCTCCTCATCAAGAAAATGACCAGGAATGTCCTTCTCTGAAATTTGATGTAGACAAACTTAGTAAAAGCTCAAAGGTAGTACTATCCAGTACAAAAGTAACCAGGAGGCATCACCAACCTTGTAGAAATGGTACAGCAACCTCCCCTCCACCAACTCTCAGAACATTCTCCTTCAGATCAATCATGCACTGCAAAAGATCATTACCGTCAACTTATAAAGACGTGTTGAAAAGAAAAGATAAGAACAGAAAAGAAAAAGATGTTACAAGCAAGGAAAGAAAGTCAACCTGGTGTTTGCGAAGCATGTCAAGTCCAAAGAGAAATTCCATATTGGGAGAATCCAGCACCACGAAAGAACAAGGGTAAAATATTTGCCCAATCTGCCATAGTTAAGAGTTTAGCAAATTGAAGTGAAACATGTTAACATGCATCTTTTTTGTTACTTTGACAGCTTTTCATTTACTAAAACGAATGCATATGTGCCTGGTTGCACAATTTAATCCTCATGTATTATGGGTAGAACAAGTAATTATCACCAACTGATTACTGAGACAAGTCATCAGACAGATTGATTTAAAGCAAATGGCCAATAAGCTAAAATTACTTACAGCTGGCATATTATTAGTAATTACTTGACTATTATTTATAGCTACAAGTTCTGCAGAAAGGTTAGCATGTAGCTTATTTAAGTTTTAGACTCCTAAGCTCTATAGATAGGATTCTTAGCATCAGTAATCCAGATCATAAAAATTGCATTACTAAGAAATAGTATAGTACAGAAACTGAAAGAGCAGAATATGGAAAGCATTTCATAGCAGCAGATTTTTAATCACTCTATTTAATTTTCCGGGCAGTGCATGAGAATAGAAAGAACTCATCAGTAGAACAGCAGCATCTATTATATACCGTCAATGCACTTGAAGTACAGACACAAGATTGCAAGATAGCCCATAAGCTCCAAGGAAGCAACAAACCTTGATTGGAGCAACATGAATACGACCTAGTATCTCTGATTGACCAACTCCATGAGCAATGCCCTTATAGCGTGTATCTAATAGCCTCAACAATCTGCAAGAGAACGGGTCAGCAGTGATAGTTAACAGATCTTCAGGGCTAGCCTATTTCTGGAAAAACAATAAGCCAGCAACAAACACCTGTTACATTTATTACTACATTATTCTTACGGTAAATAAAACCAAAACCCCTGAATATCAAACTGACTAATGTATTGCCCATAAACTTTTACTTTTTGATAATCGAGAAATAACCAAGGGCCAACGGCATACGGTTTGAAACTCGGTGAATAATGGGCCCGCCCTTCTACCCTATGAACTTATTAGTTATTCACTCAGCCTCCTCATCAAGCTAATGGATGCCTCCTGGGTTGTATTATAATTTTAAAGATAGTTCTGAAATCTTATAATAGACAACAGATATCAAAAAGTAACCCTAAACGTTCAGAGCTAAAAACGATCCGGAATGGCCTTGAAGCATCATAGCATGTCGATGAAAAGCATGCAATCTTAGTGTCAAACAGATTACAGCAGGAGAAGATGTTGCACTAGTTCTTTTGTGCTTCTACAGTTCAAGTTGAATCCTTAATATGCCTATTGTTATTCTTCTGTCCTAGAATACGAATTTTTCAACAACATACCTCATTGTTAAATTTCATAAATAAAAAAGAACAAAAATGAGAGAAACTCTTCTTATATCTCTGACTTTATTTCTTTGATATGGTAAAAACATATCTCCGACTAAAACTACTCATCAATTTCTATGTTTGCAATTTAATAATTTTTTTGATAAAGAAAGGTACTATGATTGCTTTAATAATCAATTGTGCTAATAAAATATTAAAAGGATCAAACAAGTTACTATAAACAACACAGCACAGCCTCGTAAATCATACCCACAACGTTCTGCACAGCTTTTAGATATAATTGTTGACTGAGCTCCACTATCCACAAAAGCCTAAACCAAAGAGAAAGATAATATCCCACTCAACCAAAAGTAACAAGATGTACCAAGAAGATGGAGCACATCCAAATCAAAATCCCTACCTTTAGAGGATGACCATTTACTTCCATGTCAACGTATAACATAACCTGAAATCAGCCATAAAAGTTAACCCAGCTTCATTAAAACCACAGAGAAAATCAATATTTGAAAGGCATGAGGTAGTTTTACATACCACCCTTGCAAAAGCTTCAGGATTGTATTCCAATGCTGCTGCCCAGTTTTCTTCAATTCCTTTCTGGAAAATATGCAAAACATGGAAAAGCTCTAACACAACTAGACCTAACTTCCATTGCATATTGGATATTTTGCATTTTTCGGTAAAGACATCGCAATGAAAGAGAACTACTATAAGGTAAAAGGGAAAATACAGTTCCACAAACTCTGGCAGCCAATCAATCAATTAGGTCCAAATCCAAATTAGTTGGGATCGGCTATGTGAATCTTGGCTATATTAGTCCTCTACATATATTGATCAATCAAATCAACTACAAGTTCCACAGACTCTGTCGTCAAAAATCAACAAGCAAAAGCTACAAATGACTGCAAGAGGCGCTAGTAGGAAAGGATACAATCCTCATTTAAATGAACGTCATTAGTTCGTATTCGAGTGTCTCAATATAAAAGTCACTTAACTTCGCCAAATCAATATGAGATCAAATAACAAATGTCCTACTGAAGAAGTTATTTCAGACATTTGCCAATATATTTATCTATTCCAATGGTAAGTCGTGCTTAAACTAATGCACTTTCAGAAAAATACTAGAAAAAAGAGCAAGAATGACTGTTTATGGTCCATTCACGCGGAAAAAAACCATATCGAAATAAAAGAATGTAACAAATGGAACGCTTATGCTAATAACTTGAAACAGTTTCCGGAACATCACCTGGTACACTTCTGCCAATGTAAATGTCGACAAAAGAATACATAGAAAAGAAAAATAAAAGATAATTTTAATTGAAAACAATAATGATGACAAAACTTATTATGTCGAACTAACCTGGCGAATTGCTTCTTCTATTTTCCTTTGCGCCTCGACATCGAATGGATCGGCATAAAGCAGTGCCTATAATTCAACATAATGTAGATTAATCAATGAATGTCAATCAATCTACTAATCCTCAATCCCGAATTAGCTGGGTTGGCTATATGAATCCTCTTTAATCATTCCAGTTAATGCATATCAGAGTGGGCACGTCCCACCAAAGGAAACAAAATTTTCAGATGTCTATAAAAGAAGTTAGAATTAGAAACATTTAGATCAAATGGTTAAGAAATATTGAGCTATCCTGCCTATTTCATATATGCTAGGGGCAAAGGTTCAGACCTCAGATAGCAAAAACAAAGTGTAAAGCCTGATCACATAACTTTGCAAGCTTTTGAAGATGTTCTCCGAAGTTATATGGTCTTTGTCATATCAAAAAGGATCACATAACTTTGCAGAACACCTTCAAAAGCCTCTGCCAATTCCTTAATGTCACATTCTTAGTAGATATTACGAGATAATTGTGACCTTGCCATAAAAGAAAGCACACGATCCTAGATGGAGCAAACAAAATAACTGTTCTCAAAATGTGGCATAAGGAGATTTCGCATTCTGCTCTTCTTTACAACCAATCACTAGCTTTCAATTCCACGACATCTTTTAGCAAGTAATTATGAAACAATCAACATGGGACTCTCAAGATTGTGGATGACAAGTAAATTACAATATACAGAAAAAGATAGCAATTTAGCAATAGAAGCTCCTGACCATCTCCTCTTCTTGACGACGCCGTAGCTCTGATTTGTGCTGATGACGCAGGCGCAGAAGGTCTTGCAGCTTATTTAGGTCATTCCCGAGGACAGCTTGTGCTAACTCAGGATCATTCTGCAAGTTCAAACATCATATACAGGCTCATGGGACCTCTGTGCTACATTGCAAACCAGCCACAAAGTGGAGCGGACGAGAACAAAATTAATGGATCACATGTCCACATCAGAATAATAAGAGGAATCCATCAGAATGCATATGAAACTTTCCTCTCCAAATCTAACTAATCCCTCATTGTGCATATGTAAGATCATGATGAAGTCATCATTACCAATCATTTAAAAATCATACCAGTCCAACAAAATCGCAAAGTATGAGAAGAACCCACAAAATATAACTTCCTTTCAAAGTATAACTAATCCTTCATACCTATAAGGTCGTGATGAAGTCATTAGCGGGGAGGTGTTAAATAATACATCAAATTGGAAATGTATGGGTGCTTATAGTTAAAAACCTTTGAGCAGGTCATACGTTGAAAACAGCAATGCCTTTGGAGATTGATTTCTTTCTTAAATTGTTTACCAAAGGAAAAAAAAAAGGCTAACTTGCTCCACCTGAAAAAGTTGGGCCATCAAATTGGAATCATTTCTCAAGTGTTGTTGGAAAGCTGCAGGATTTACAGCAGATCCATCTTGCTTGAAGCTCAAGTCATTTGCAGGTGCACTGAAATGCATTTATCTATTGTTAGCAGAAGATGAAAGACGAGATGAATTTGCAGGATATGGCAGAGCAAATGGGCAAAGGGTAACAACATGGGACAATAAACAGCCAATAAAATAACAAAACATGAACAAAAGCGATATAAGCCGAAAATGCACCTAGACAAGGATGCTGCACTAGACACCATCATCACTAAATCTCCATCACCAACGCCAAGAGCGCTCAGTTTGTCAGAATTCCTCATTTCCCTCCCATTGTACAAAAGCTGCTGCTGCTGAAGAGGCACTTGTGTCTGCTCATCCAACACATATACACAACACTCATTGTAAAAGTAAGCGATAACATATATATATATATATATATATATAATTCCACCACAATAGATATGTTACTCTTCCATTTTATTTTGAGTTACTTTACACTGACGGTGGGAAAAAATTACACAATCAGGTCACTCAGTATGCAATTACAGGTACATTGCTAGACAAACATTTATTGTAATCTGGTAATAGTGGTAACTAACCTGGGTTTAAAATTACTGACTTTACACAGTCGGTGTACATAATTTAAATCCTTTTATATTCTCTTAGTTCATATCTACCAATTTTCCAAATCGTTTGACACAATTCCATCAACTACATTATTGTATATAACTTTCACAACTTTGCAGAATTCAAATTCATTTACTAATCAAAATTTGAACTTTGACATAGTGTTTTCTCTATCGAACTAACTTTCAACTGTTTATTTAAGTTTTCTTCTATTATCACCGTATAAACAAACAAACACACACACACACACACATAATCACCGTGTCGTATAAAATGAAAAAAAAAAAAAAAAAAAAAACTAACCTCAACTTCCAGTAGAGCTTTCAGGTTCTCTACCTGGAGTACACACAATCACAAACATCTTCAGCATTAAAAACAAACTTTAAGATCCAAATGTATCAGCAAAACTTAGGGTTTTAGGCCTGCTATTAAAATTATATATAAAAAATGGAAAAGGAGACTAATGAGAGTGAATTATACAGATTCATCACGATCGACATCGAGAGTAACGATTTGTTCGTCAGTTGTCATTACAGTGATCTTCATCTTCCACGATTTCAGTTAGGAACTGATGAACAGTTACTTGAAAGGACTTCGATGTCAATTCTCCGGCGCTGTTGTCGTTTCTTATTGCCGAAGAAATTTCGAACTCCGTTTGGTATTCCCAATATCCAGCTTTTCGCTGGAGGGATGAATTTGAAGGACTGCTTGTACGATAGCCAAAACAGCTCACAAGTTATAAGTCGCATTCAGTAAATGCATAAGTCGCATTCACTAACATCCTTCAGTAGTAACATTTCTGCAATACGCTTCAGAAGTAGTATTTTTAACTACAATTTATTAGTTTTATTTACTTCAATTAGCGTATTTTACTTTTTTTATATTTCTAAAACTCTCACAAAAATTACATACTAATGAAATTTCAACCAAAATTACAGGAAAAATTCCCCATACTCCTTCCCCGTAACCCCCCATCCCACACACACAAACACCAAATCCCCCTTCCCTCTTACTTTTTTCTTTCCATTTTTGTTAATGTTTGCTAATTATTTTTTTTAGACATATACATAAATTATATATTGATTATATATATATATATATATGTACGTACGTCAGTTATTCTTAGTTTAAGTTTGAATAGACAATTATTTATGTAATTCTTGTTTTTTTAATGTCGATATTATCTGAGTTAACTTGCACTTCAACTAATTCATCACTTACATATCGTTTACCTGTATATAATCATCGTGGCATATACATGTGTGAAAATGGGAGCACGTAATCTATACATGCAAATGCCTTGATTTATACGTACAATTTAATAAGTTCTTTACACAAAAATACATATGTACACATATTTTTCTAAAAATGTTATATCTAACCTATTCGTAGAGAGTTTGAGAAGCTGTGAAAATGTTGCTTTAGTTAAAGTTACTAAAGTGAGAAGTTATTACAATTCTTTTTGTATTATGTTATACTACTCATTTTGTAATAGTAGTTGAAGCGAGTAAACATTAGAAGTCACTTTGGTCAAATATTAAAGAGGCAAGCTCCGTGTAAACGAGAGATAATGGAGAACTCTGTCATTAGGCATAAATATATGATAACTACATATACAAGTTAGTTGTTGTCAATACTCATCATAGATTTTTGAGTTATTATCTCCCGGGCAAAATACATAAGTTGACACCCAACCTATGGCCCAAATCCCCCTTACACACTTTCTGAGGACATGTATAATATTACACACACAACCTTTTAAAATTGTGCCTAATACACACTACTTTTGCCAGGTGACAGGCGCGTGTTTAACAAAAAAAAAATGAGCGCGTCAAACCAATGCATTATCTGTCAAAGTCCTTATATAAGCACATGTGTCTAAATCTTATTTGTCCCCTTATTTTTGTTCCCCAGAATGGCGACAATCGCAACCTGCTCATCTCCTCCCTCTTGTATCTCCTTTAAGAAGATGTCAACCGTAACTCGTAATGCCGGCAACGACCTCAAGCAACAAGCCGAGAACTCCATTGCCAGGTCATTAGTTCCACTGTTAGTTCATGGCTCGGATCTTCTCCGCGTGGGCGGAGCTATCAAATCTTTCGGCAAGCTGGTGTTCTTCGTTCAAATCTGGACTCGTTTGGTTAAAAAAAGGCAAACAATGTCGACCTCCATTTTCCGGCCACTGTTACAGTGGCAAACCCATCGGTAACAATGGTAATTCCACGGCAAACAAAACCTAAAAACTAAAAAAATGGTGAAAATTTTATAGACTAAAAAAATGGTGAAAATTCATGTTAATATTTTGTTCTGGTGGGGATTTGCCATGGCTGTTGGAGTTTAGAGGAGGAGGTCGACGGGTATGGGGGGTCAGAAGAAGATGAGAAACGTGGGGGAGGGGGCTTTTTTTTTTTCTTTTAAATATAATTGATTGGTGTAAATTTAGTATTTTTTTTTCCTTGAGTTAGGACACGTGTCACGACATTATTGGCGCGTGACCTCACACATATTTTGAAAAACTGGTCAAGAAAAAAGTGGTGTGCACTAGCTACACTTTAGAAGGGTTGTGTGTGTAATATTATTATCGTCCACAGAAAGTGTGTAATGGGGTTTGGGCCATAGGTTAGGTGGGTACTTATGTATTTTGCCTTATCTCCTGCTATCATATAGATATGTAATTTTCATGGGGATTTTTACCTAGCTATACTATAATAGAAACCTATTTACTACCTTTATTTAGGTTCCTTATTAATTGCTTTATTACCTATATTTACTAGTTTTATACAAAACCATAAAAATGAGGAAATGAAACATACCTTAAATATTGGGTATCAGTTACACATAATTCCCCTACGTTTAAGATACTCTTCCTTTTTCAAAGGATTACAAAACATCATCTGTCTTTGTACTTACCCACCGTAAGAAACCCATTGATACCCAAAAACTCAATCAACCTCTCTTCCATACAAATCAACCAATCTCTCTCTCTCTCTCCCTCATCAAATCAAACTATATCTCTCTAAAAATTGTAGCATCATATATTTCTCTGAAATCAATTCCACCATCAACCATTAAAAAGCTTCAACTATTGACAAATCAATCAACATTATCTCTGAAATTGTAGGTGGAGGGGTCTACCATTGACATACCATCAAAAAACTTCGAAGCTTTGAATTAGATATTCAGATTTTACGAATTTGTGATTTTTTTGGATTGGGTGTTCTTGAAAACGATTGAAAATATCCTTTAGAGTTTATATCTCAATTTTAAGGGAAATTCGTTAAGATTAAAGTTGGTTTTAGGTTGAATTTCTGATTGAAACTCGAGGAAGAAGAAGTTTCGGAATTGTATTACGATTGTATGATAAATGTATCATAATTGTATCTGAGTTGTATTTGATACGTCAATACATAAGACAATTCTGATACAATACTAATACTATTAAAATACAAAATCGTATCATAATTTAAGTTTAGAGTTGGTTCTAGGTGGATGTTTTAAATTGAAACTTGAAAAAGATGAAGATCAAAGTTGTATCATAATCTAGAAGTGTATCATAATTGTATCGCAATTTGTACCTAAAACATATATGATACAATGCTAATACAAATATAATACGATATTGTATTAGTTTAAGTTCAGAATCGGTTTTAAGTTGTATCATAATTGTATCAGAATTGTGTAAGAATACTTCCGGGATTGTATCAAATTTGTATCTGAATAATGAGTAGTTGTGAGTTCATGACGAATTTCACAGTTTATAACACAAATATATGATAATTAATACAAGTTAGATACAATTGTGATACAAGTATGATACAATTATGTTTTACGCATTGGTATATCTGATAAAATTCAAATGCAATTATGATACAGTTATCATACAATCCCTGAATATTTTTTCATTTTCAGTGTTGTCCAGTCTCCCAACAAAAGAACGATGCTTTTTTTGATGATTTAATAATATAAAGTTGTCGCCAATGGTGGGAAGAGAGAAGATGGAGATTTTGGATGTAGATAAGGGATTTTGATGTTAAAAAAAAAAGGAAAGAGAAGAGGAAAGGGAAAAAAGGAAAGGATATAATTGAATCCCTTAATTGAAGGCACTAAAATAATGAGATGAGAGCCTTTTAAGGAGAAATCTGCACAAATTTGTAAGAAAAACCTAGATACTTAATTAAAACTACAAAACATAAAGAATATTGGTAAATAAGTTTCTAATATAGTATAGCTAGGTAAAAATCCCATTTCCATGACAATAACCATTCATCTTGGTCGATAATACATACCTTCTATTTGCAAAACATATTGTGATTGCATTTATAGTATGCATATGTTGGTGTAGATAAGTACATCATCGCGGTCCAAGGTTTAAAGAATAACATGCACAATCTCTGCATGGGTATTTCCCTTTAACAAATTAACATAACATTCATTAAATATAGACGTTAACTTGATCAGACTCGTTCTTAAAAATTAATTAATAGTAATATCGACCACACAAGTACATACGACATCGGCCACCATCGTCAACCAATGCACATCAAGTATAAAAGCAGTTTAAACAGTTTATAAATAATGGTAAAAATTTGTTTACTATTATAAAAGTTCATTTTGGTATTTTAGAATTTATCTACGTATTGTTAATATTAATAACTATATTTTAGTATTAATATAGTTATTTTAGTGTAGATTTTTTAAAATTAGTATTATTCTATTAATTCATCTAAACAACCAAACACGTCCTCCCTACACCAACCAAACGAAGCCATAATCGTCTACCACAGTGGAGAGTATATATATATACGCAAAATACATTCAGAGGCTGACTGATCTCTCCAGTTGGCGCCGAGAAAGACGAAACTAGGCCTTTCCCGTCTCTTCTAAAACCCATACATCGGAACCCTAGATCTCCGTTTCCATAAATCACTGTTATCTCAATCGAAACATCGAGTTCGCATTTGCCCTAGCTTTGAGAAATGATCATTTGTAAATTCAAATTCTTTGATTAGATCCTAATAGAGTACGTGATATACCCAAATTGTATTGTTTTGTTTGATGTGTGTTGTGAAAATACTATAAAGTTTGAACAATTCGATTATGGCCGATGGGAAGGTGGTTAAGCGTGCCAAGTACAAATCTTCAGTCAAGGACCCTGGCGTTCCTGGCGTTTTGAAATTGGTAATTTTTTCCTTCCGAACCTCCTTGTATTCATATGGACGTTATGATTGAGCTGTGCACTTGTTTCCTATGGTCATGACCCCCCCCCTAAAAATAGCAGCACTAACAATAATGATCCCAATCCTAAGTAGACAAATACTAGGTGATTTTTTCTCATCTGACTATGGTGGGTAGAGTTACTCCATACTTGTGCTGGGAGGTAACGGCAGAGGCGGAGCTAGGTTTTGAAGCTTATAGGTTCAACATTCTAGTTCGTTTAAGTTACTTGATTTGGCCGAACCCGTAACTCCTATGCTAGCTCCGCCCTTGGTAGCAGGTAGCAGGTACCCGTTGGAACAGTCGAGGCAAAGGCCCTCTCAAGAACACCAGCATCATAAAAAGAAAAAAAAAGAAAGAGAAATCCCAACTAGAGCCTACCTGATAGAGGATTCATATCACTACATAAACTGGTCTGGGACTGATACCAGTTGATTGGTTGAACAAAATAAAAATAACAGGAATGCAACTGATACACGGAGCTGGTAGAAAGAGGCGAAAAAGAGAGAATAGTGATGGGTCAGGTAACTGGCTGGTAAACATCTTTTTATAGTAATATGTGGATTAAGTGACTAAAAT